GGTTTAGGGTTTAGGGATTGAATTTTAAGGTTGGGGGTTGAGGGTTTAGGGTTTGAATTTTAGGGTTCAGGGTTTAGTTATGGTTTAGGGTGTTTAGGGCGTTTAGGGTTTAGGGTTTTTGCGGTTTAGGGTGAAAAGAGCTTAGAAGTTCAGAACGGATTGAAAAAGCGGGGGGGGAACTCGGGGCTTTAGGGTTTAAGTCAGAGGTTCTTGGGGTGGTTTAGGGATTTAGGGTTTAGGGATTTAGGGTTTAGGGTTTAGGGATTTAGGGTTTCGGCTTGGAGTAAGGGCTAGAGTTGCAGAGGCTTCGAGGGTTTAGGGCCTAGGACTCTTGCTCGGGCCTGGGGCCTCGCGGTTGCGGGGTTTCGGGTTTTGGGCTATGGGGGTTCTTTGCTTTCTCAAGGCCCGAAACCCTCAAATCTCGAGACCCGAAGCTTCAGAAGACCAAAGAGCCCTACCGTAGACCCTGCAGGTCGATCTGGTTTCTAGAAGGGTGTAACGAGGCTCTACAAGGAGATTTCAGTCTTGTGAAGCCCAGATGAGCAATACAGCTTTTTCAGGGAAGGGACGTTGTAATAGACTTTTCTTGCAATGTCAAGTAAGGGAGCGAGATTCTGTACTAGGAGTCTACATTCGTGTTCAGACCCCCAAACCCTGAGCGAAAGCTCTGAAAGGTCTGAAAGGCATCCTCCAAACTCTAAGATCGACAAAGCAACACCATCGTGGGCTTACGATACGGTCTCATATGCATACATATATATATATATGTATGTATATGTATGTATGTATGTAGGTAGGTAGGTAGGTAGGTAGGTAGGTATGTATGTATGTATGTACACATACATAAGCAGATGGGCTCATGAGTAGACAAATAGATCGATACATCGGCATTGCATGGGTAGATGGACAGATGGCTAGATGTCTAGGTAGAAAAGCAGGTCACCCACAACTATGACACATAATTCCTGATTCGTACATGAGCCTTTTGCTGGGCAGGGTTGCATGTGCATGTATCCGTACATACTCTTCGATGTATCTACATAATATATGTATACATGCAATACAGGCAATCCACACACAGGCACATGTATATATGTGCATGATCAGACGTATATATACATATATATATATATATGTATATATATATATACATATATATATATACATATATATATAGAGACACACTCGCATATGTGCATTTTCAGATGTCCGTGGACAGACACGAGAGAGACAAGGTTCCTCTACGCGCTGGTCAATGATCGGACGACCAAATCACGGCAGCAGCTGCGAGCCGCGCACCTCAATCAGGGTTCTACCTAAACCCTAAACCCGAAACCCTAAACCCTAAACCCGAAACCCTAAGCCCTAAACCCAAATTTATCACGGGTTCTACAAGGGCTTGACAGGAGCTTCTACCGGAGCTCAAAAGGGTCGTGTGTAACGGTGCTACATGGGTTCTCCCGAGACCGAGCCCCTCAACCCTGAACCCCAAACCC